TAATGCATTTTTGAACAGTTTTACACATCAATACACCATATATCATAACATATACAATGAATCTTATACATAAATTGAACATTTATGCTTTAAATCAAAAGGCCAAAGACCTAATCAGCTTTCCTTTGCTGATCTCACCAGCAAGTGGTTATGTCCAATTTGTAAAAAATATTGGGCTGACAAGGAGTGACATGGGCTATTCTATCACCCTCCCTGCTGCTTTAACCCAGCTAACATGGTACTCAACTGGCCTAATCAGTTGCCAACTCAGTTTTTTATCACCTCTACTTTTTATGGGGCTGTTCTACAAAATCTCCACCTCTAATATAGCGCACTGGAGTCATGTGCATCCTTATGAAAGAGCCTACTGTTTTAGTGACAGGATGAGAAAAATCATTTCCGACATAATGCCGCACAATCTGATTGACTGGTTGAAAAAATGGCCGACCCCTGGGTCGCCATGGAATTGGAGAAAAGTTAATCTGCGTCCGAAATTGTATGGAAGTTAACGTTGTGATTTGAACTTTTCCATGTCTATTATTAAGAAAAGATCATAACATCCTGCCAATTTTTTCCTTTGGAATGTTAGGTCATCTGATAAAAGTTTATCCATGACATACGTTTAGAGAATTGTATATCTTTTCTCGGGTTTTATTTTTGAACTGTTTGGCAGACTGTGAAGCCAGAACTCAATGGCTCCATATTGACCCCTATTAACTCCTCCATAGAAAAGTTTTGGGTGTCAATTTCAATTAACAAAGAGGCAGACAATTCTATTTGTGGTTTCTTAACTGCCAGATTTGGCAACATTGTCACTGAAGAGATAATGTGTAGGAAGTGTTCTACAAAGGGGAAGAATTCTGCTGCAAAACACCTGTTCGTTGCCAATGATGGGTAAATAAAAATAGATATTTTTTTCCCAAAAGGGAGAGTTGTGGAAAAGATTTTGATAGCTTAACAACAATCCAGTCACATATTGTACAGTGATATATGAAGTGAAGCACAAGAAATGTCACCTCATATTTAACCTCTTAATTCACAAAACCTAGGTCTTTTCTAACCATTTTCTTTCAGGTCAAATAAAAAACCTCTGCCTACAGAAGTGCGATTTTTCTTTTCAACCCCTTACTTGGGTTAAATCAAACATAAGATATGTTTCATCTTCATGGTTTGGACAAAAATAAAAAATCACTGAGCGAGATCCCCTATCCTTTACTTTTCCTCACCTCATATTCTAGTTCGTAACCAGGATCGTCATCGTACTGATCAAAGAAGTCCATCCCGTGGGCCATCTCAATGTCCGTGAGGCCAAGGTCGGCGCTGGGAGAGAAGGCCACTGGTTGGCGAGAAGAGGGCTGGTACAACCTGGAAATAAAACAAGAAACAAATAATTAATTTTATAATTGAACTTTTTATTCCCATCATCATCATCATCATCATCATCATTAGAGAGTTTCCGGTGCAGTTGGGATACGACGGCTAGATTGTTACGTATGTGCAAATGTATCTAGTAACGCGCTACTCTTTTCTCGTTCCGGTAAAGTTCCAGAATGCTGGCGCTTCCCGCCCCGCTCATTCCAATATAATTAACAATATACGGCCCCTTAGCCATCTATTTCCAAGGTGGAGATTCTTTTTTTATGAAAAAGGAGACATATATTACCCAAAAATTCAATTTTTTACGACAAATATGGCGGTTAGTAAGATCAACCCCCGACTACGTGCCTGATAAACCAAAACTAGCGACTCCTCTCGCTTAAAAAGTCGAAATTTGCATGAACGTACACTTGAACTATTGTAAAAAATTATATAAGGCATATAAATGAGCAAACATAACCTTTAATAACTAGTTTCAATAATCTTCCGCACTGGCTAGATAGGAGCGCTTGTATTCCGCAGACTAGATTGGACGACGGTATATGAATGCGGTGAACGTCACAAGTGCGCACATACCGATGACGTATTAATCTAGCCGGCGTATCTCACCGGCAACGGAAACTCTCTAATATCATCATCATCATCTTCTTCTTCTTCTTTATCATTGTGGGTAATAGGACAGATACTATGTTACTGTGGATGATATCTATTCATTGTCAGTGTTAGGAGAGCAGACTCCTCCCGCCCCCCCCCCCCCCCAACACAAGCACACGCACGCACGCACACACACACACACACTATTTCTTCTGCAATTTTTCTCTGACCATTGCTGCCCAATGTGACATTCAGGGTGTTAGAAAACAAAAACAAGACCATCTGTTAAGTATCTTACTTCACTGAGATCAGGTTCTGGTTCAGTCTAGACTTTGTGAAAAAACTGCCATGTTTTATACCTCTCTGTTAACAAGGGTATTTTGTGGCTTCAAAGACCCAGTAAACTGACACTGGACTTGTATTTAGATGTTACTCCTACTCTTTTCACATTCTTTATTAGTCAAATGGTCTACTTAACTGTGTGAAAGAAAATATTTTTCCCTAAAATCCATATTAAGAGCCTTTGCAGCCAGACACAGGCCTATCATGTACAAAAATGAGCCCAAATGTTTTAAATATATTATAACGGTACCCATACATAATTATTACTTGATTTGGTTTGGACGCTGCTTAGTAGTAATTTCCTGATAGTTTAATCAATACAGTTATGATGACTATGTATTAAGTCATTTCAATCTGTATGCCCCTATAATCACAGTAGAAGGAACCTCATTTAATTGCACTTCAGCTAATTTCTCTCCATTTTCCAACCAAATCAATTGATTCCAATTTCTTTTGTTAATTGAATTCTCTGTTTAATCCAATCAAAGTTAAATGAATTCCTCTTTCCTTACAGCCCACCTCTGCTTGCTTTTAACAGCCACCTTCATTATCCATCCCTGGGGCCCTCACACTGCACACCTAATGCCCTACATAGGTGTATCCACCACCTCACTTCCATCATACAGCAGCTGGGGCCTTAAGATGCCTAGCAGGTGCCCTGTGCCGTGTATGTTGTAGTTATGAAGACCACCAGTCCAGTCTAGACACTACAGAGGGGTCTGCAGGCAGAGATCAAAGGGGCGGCCCTCCTGGTCCACTAATACCTTAATGACCACTCAATGATTGCAGCCATTAACTTTCTATAAGATACAGAGTGGGCTCATTTCTTGTAAAATTATATAGGGGATTTGAAAATATAAAAGCTTAATGGATGCACACATAAGGGAGAAGTACAGTTAACTGTTTTGGAGTGGGCTTGGTATTAAAGAATAGAGGTTTCTGCCTGTCTGATTGAGCTAATTCATGGTCAGATGCATTATTACAGTCTATGTCACACTTAAACAGGAGGTGTCTAGTCCGAAACCACTGAAAAGATGGTGGTACTTCCATGATTCATATTCTATGGCTATTTTGTAGGTGGGTGGCTTTTCTAAATGTCCACCAGCATTGTCCATCCTGCGATCACCTGATTTGACCATACCTGGGCAGTTACCTCTTATTTGTACAACTGTTTATCTCCCCTCATGACCACATATGTGTCACAGTGTTTTCAAGTGGGGTTGGCGAGGGCATGTGAAGTCGGCTTCAAAGGGCTTTACCTTGATTATTGCCATTAATCCTCTTACGCAATAATTGAAATTGCGATGGTTATTGTTAAAATTCCTTTGAAGTTACCAGCTAATGTGGATTTTAGAGTACACCTCGAATGAAATACAACACACACACATTTGATATATGGGTCTGGGTGTTAAATTTGTTGTTAAAACAATATATCTTTAAAGTTTTTTGATGTGGGTATGTAATTATCTTGTAACTCACAAAAACTAGCATTAAAGAGAATAAATCCTCCCCTGCAACTGCCAACAAGTGGCTGCCCTATTGTTTTATTTTGGTGATAAATTATAGAAACCTTTGTTTTTTATTGGGGTGTTAACCTTATAATGTAGTGGCTTGCCAAATAAAACATTAAAATTAGTGGTAATGACCACAAATTGCTTTCCCTCTCAAAGGCTGGCCAAGGAATGACCTGTTGGGTTTTTTGCCCAAGTAAAAACAACCCAAGGGAACGTTGAAAGAGCTCCTGAAACACTGAAATCTGTAAATTAGCTTTGTTGGCTGCTAATACCTCTCCTTATTAAATCTAGATATTGTGACAACTTAAACTTTATTTCCACGAAATAACATTCTCAGAGGAAAGGAAGGCAGCTCTTGCCAAAATGTACAATAATGAAATAAAGAAATGAAGTCTTGCTGATTGCTTATTATCCTTCGATCTAAGGAATGGACAGTACTTAACAAAATGGATCGAGGACCAAGAAATACTGAGAAAGACAAGAAAATTAGCATGGTTTTCTAGCAATCAAGTTTCTTCTAGAGGTATGGCCCAGTCATGACCTGCATTGTATTGCAATATACAAACATTTTGACCCACACACCATTTCTGTGAATAAATAGCTGCAAGTTTCAGAAAGATTGTCTTGCAAAAAATATACATAATAAGCTTCATTGTCCACTCTTTATGAATTCTTCTTAATGGGTACTTCCTTAAACATCTTAAACTTCACGAAAAAGAAAATAGCCTTCGGAATATTAGGATTCCTGTAAAAATTTAAGCAAAACCAAAGACATAATCCCATTACAGTATGGAAACACTCCCAGTCTTCTTTGAACACCATCAGGCTATATATGGTGCTGAAGTAAGCTGATGGTACTACAGGTTTAACTTTTTCAGTTACAAAATCATAGGGGTGGGGGTGGGGGGGCGGTGCCTAAATAGAATCTTCACACTTGTTATTATGACAGAGATGTGGCACCAAAATACTTTTTAAAAACTTGAGTGACTGGTGAAAAATGTTCAGACTTGTGATATGATCATGTCAGCCAAGCATATATCCAAACAAGTATGTTAGAAGTACAACAAGAATAGTATGGTAAAGGGAACAACTATCCCGATACAGATGCGACCAAGTGTGTCAGAAATGTGGCACCAACTTCAGCATGAACATATGTCAACTGTGTGTGTCTACACCATACAAGACAAGCCTCATCATTATCTGACAATACAAGACAAGCCTAATCATCATCTGACTGCGCACACAGACACGCTAATGTCTTCTGCAAGAGACTAATGACAAAGGCACAAGGGCAATGACATGATTTCGTTACATCACAGAAGCCTCTCTGGCCAAGCTTCACAGGGCAGAGATGACCATCATTTCACCTGCTCATGCAAGGTGTCGTCTGCAGAACAATGTAAATCAGCTAGGGTTTATATGTTTCCAGTGGTTCTGATATTGGACAAGATGTTGAGAAAAAATACCACTCATTTTTTCCATATTTTCTTGACAGAGCTAATCTTTTTGTACCTAATATTATGTAATTAATAAACTGCATTTGGATTTAACTATGAAACACTCATCTACAATATCAAAAAATGTAAAGAGTTGAATTTCAAAATAATTTCATTATTTTCCTCTCCTTCTGAAGTATAGACAGCCTGATCACTTCAGCAGGCCAAGTACTTAGTAGTTTATTGCCTGCTAATATGTCTGCAGTTCAACCCCTCAGTGAAGAGGACTTGACTGGGCAACAATAAAAATTTATTGTGTCTAGGAATGTTCAGGAAAGTTAAGAGCAGTTAAAGCTTAGGTACTGAAAACAGTCCACAGTTTCTATATAAACCCAATTATAAGCCCCCCCCCCTCCCCCCCAACATACACACATCCTCCACCCCAATGTACACTCTACTCCAGTCAGCTAGTCTCTACTAATGGCCAGGTTCCTGTTCCACAAACTTCCTTCAAACCCCCTGATTCCCATATGTCAAAGTACCCCTAAGTGACGCTAATATGTCCTAATACACCCCTGGAGATGCTGGGAGGGCCTCCAGGGTCCTCTTTACTCAGGTAGAGCAGGTATTATTTTACATAACTGGAGACACAGATACTGGGGACGAGCTTCAAAGAAGGAACTGGACCAGGTAATTATAATTAAGGATGTAAAGGTATAAGACCTACATGGATGGGGTGGGCCTGTGGTTTGCCCGGGCATAGATAGATATGATCTGCAACTTGGTGGAAAGCTGCAGATTGAACATAATGAAAATCTTTTTCTCTATTTCAAACATTGGACTATTACTGTTTATATGACAACATCCTGTAAATATCAACTTCAGTGAAATCTGGAGATGTATATTATTGTGAAGTGAGTTGCTTATAAATAAAACTCTCTTACTTAGAGATTCCTTTGCACGTGACTCTTTTTCTGTATAAATTATAAGCAAGATATAGAAAGCATTCAGATCTCTCTCAATGAATTCTTTTTTTCTAATTTTTGTTTTCCGAATAGAGCGCATATGAATGTCCTCATCAGAAAATCTCATGAAAGTATTA